CCTCTCCTCTTCCTCCTCCTCCCCTCCTTCTCCTCGGTCCTCCTCCCCCTCCTCCTCCTATCCCTGACCTCTTCCTCTCCTCCTCCCCTCCGTCCTCCTCCTCCTCTTTCTCCTCCTCCTCCTCCTCCTCCCCTCCTCCTCCTCCTCCTCCTCCTCCTCTTTCTCCTCCTCCCCTCGCAACTCCCCTCCTCTCCTTCTCCTCCTCCCCCTCGCACCTCCCCTCTTCCTCCTCCCTCCTCTTCACGCCTCCTCCTCCTCCTCCTCCTCCTTCCTCCTCCTCCTCTAAACCTCCTCCTCCTCCTCCTCCTCCTCCACCTTCCTCCTCATCTCCTCTTCTCCTCCTCCTCCTGCCTTCAAGATCCTCCTCTCCTCCCCTCCTCCTCGTCCGCCCTCCCTTCCTTCTCTCCTCCTCCTCCTCCTCTCCTCCTCCTCCTCCTCCTCGTCCTCCTCCTCCTCCTCCTCCTCCTCCTCCTCCTCCTCCTTCCTCGGCGTTGCATCGGCGATGCACTGGCGATGTATTGGCGATGCGGCGCGATCCTCAGGCCCCCATCCGCTCGGACCCCATGTGAGAGGCCGCTATGCTCCCGCGGGCGGCCCCGCGCGCCCCGCGGGCGGTCCCCCGCGCCCTTCCCTCGGAGGGCGGAGGGCGAAGGGGCGGGGGGCGGTCGGGTGCTGCCAGAGGTGTCCCTGGCCCCGCTGGGGCATCAAGCTGGCCGAAGGAAGCGGGGGCGGCAGGGCGGTGTCGCCACCCCGGGCTTCTGGAGGCAGGTTCCGGGACCGCGGGCCGTCCGACACCGGCCCAGGGTGAAGTTTCCGAGACGCCGGGCCACTGTGGAGAGGGGGGGGAGGGCTGGGGCCACGAGCCCCTTTCGGCGGCTGCCTCGCTCTCCTCGCTCCCCCATCCTCCCCTTTGGAGTCGTCCTGGTGGCCGTGCGCGCTTGTGGTCGCAACAGGCCAGCTGTGGAGCACCCTGGCAGCGGGCCTCCCCGCGTTCCGGAACCAGGAAAAGGTAGTCGGTGCTGAGGGCTAAACAGATCGTTGTCTTTGTCTTCCTCCTCCCGGGCGTCGTGAGCGGCCGCCTGGGTGCCGCAATTTCTCGTTGACGGGTGCTTTGGATTTCGTGAGCTTGTTCCTGTTCCTGTTCCTCTTCCCTCCCGCACTCCCTCCTCCCTCGTCCCCCTCCCTCCCTTCTTCCCCCCCCCCCTTCCTCCCTCCCTTATCTTTTCTCCCTCCCTTCGTACTACCTGTTGCCTTCCCCAGGCAAGCCCAACCCACCAACCTGCTCCTCGCCCTCCTATTCTTCCTCCGATCTCTCCTCCCTCCTCCCTCCTCTCCTCCTCCTCGTCCCGCCCTCCCCCCCCTCCCTCCCTCCCTCCCTGCCTCCTGCCAGCACGGCCAGGGACTGCAGCGGCGCGCTCTCGGGAAGCGCCGCGCGAAAATACCCCAATACCTCAGGACAAAAAGATACACGTCCTGGTCGTCGCCGTCGTCGTCGTCCTCCTCCTCCTCCTCCTCCTCGTCCTTCTTCTCCTACTCCTGCTGCTCGTCTTCCTCCGCCTCCGCGTCCCCGTCCCTCCCGTCGTCCCCCCTCCTCCTCCTCCTCCTCCTCCTCCTCCTCCTCCTCCTCCTCCTCCTCCTCCTCCTCCTCCTCCTCCTCAGTCTCTCTCCTCCTGCTGCTGCTTATCCTCCTCCTCCCTCGCCTTCCTCCTCCCGCTCGCCCTCGTCCTTCTCTTTTGTGTCCGACTCTTCGTTCTCCTCCTCGTTTTTCCTCCTCTTCGTGCTCCTCCTGCTCCTCCTCCTCCTCCTCCTCCTCCTCCTCCTTCCTCTTTCCCTGGTTCCTTTCTCCTCCTCCCTCACATGTGAGAGGAAGCGGGAGGGAGGGGGGGGGGAGTGGCAGAAGTGAGAACGAGGAGGGAGGAGTGTGGATGAGGAGGGGGGAGGAGGAGGGGGAGGAGGAGGCGGAGGAGAAGGAGGTGGAGGAGAAGGAGGGGATGATGATGATGATGATGATGATGATGAGGAGGAGGAGGAGGAGGAGGAGAAGGGGGAGGAGGAGCAGGGGGAGCCGCAGGAGGAGGAATGAGGGAAGGAGGGAGGGAGGGAGGGAGGGAAGGACGGAAGGCAGGAAGGAAGCAGGGAGGAGGAGGAGGTGGAGGAATTATGCAACTAGTATGACAATCAATACGGAGATTAATAACATCGCGAACAATATGATAAATGCGAAGAATAAAGGTACTACGGATAGTATGCATACTACTAATACTAGTAAGACGAAGGATGATGCGACTACTAATACGACAACGAAGACGACTACTCGTATCAATACAACTAATCATAAGGATACGCAGCGGAATGAAACTACTAGTAAGACGACTAATACTACCAATTGTAACGCTAATACTAACCCTATTCATATTAATAAGGTTCGTAACCTTATTATTAACATAAGAATATGTAAGCATCATACTGCTACGGAAAACTACTACGAATACTGTTATAAAGAACAAGAACAATACCGGCAATTCTACTACTAAGACTAACACGGCTACCAACCATATTACGAGTCGTATACTAATTTGTAGTATGGTTAATTGTAGTAATGGTTAATATTCCTAGTACTGTTAATAGTAATTGTTAATTCTAGTAATGGTTCATTCTAGCAACGGCTGTTACTAGTAATATTTCTAGTATGGTTAATAATATTCAGCATGCCGCGAGTAAGCATAGATATGCGAATCCTATTGATACTACGGTTACCAAGAAGACACATAATACGACAACCACACATAATAATTACACTAGCACTAAAACTAAGAAGACGACGAACAATGCTACGACGAAGACTATGAGGAGGAAGAGGAGGAGGAGGAGGTGGAGGAGGAGGAGGAGGAGGAGGTGGAGGAGGAGCAGGAGGAGGAGGAGGAGGAGGAGGGGAGGAGGAGGAGGAGGAGGAGGAGGAGGAGGAGGAGGAGGAGGAGGAGGGAGGAGGAGGCGGAGGAGGAGGAGGAGGAATGAGGAGGAGGAGTGGGAGACGGGAGGACGAGGACCGCCTTGCCTGCACATCTGGCTTGACGACGTCTCCGGAATCTGCTCGCCGAGATCTCCGCATCTCAAACCTGGGGACCCCTAAGGGGGCCCTCCTCGATCCTCGATCCTCCTCGATCCTCCTCGATCCTCGATCCTCCTCGATCCTCGATCCCTTCCACTCGCGGGGAGTGCCCCAGCCCTGTGGACACGCGCCATTGGAAGCCCGACGTGGCGGACTACACGCCGTCTCGGTCGGTTCGAGCCGCCAGATGCCCGCGTCCATCCGCAGGCAGCGCTCTCAGAGCCGGCACGGCTCCCGAAGCTGGTCGCGCGCTCTCCGAGTCATCGCTGCCCTCGTTTCCCTGGTTGGACTGCCTCGTCGTCGTCTTCGTCGTTCCTCGTCGTCATCGTCCTCCGCCTCCTCTGCTCTGCTCGCTTCCCATCCTCCGCCTCACGAGCTTCTCGCCTTCATTCCCTTCCTCTTCCCGATACTTGTCCTCCTCTTCCTGCTCCTCCTCCTTCTCCTCCTCCTCCTCCTCCTCATCCCCCTCCTGTGCGTCCTCATCTCGTCATCTCGCCCCCGTCCTCGTCATCGTCGCTGTGCTTCTCGTCATGCTGGTGTTCTCGTGGTCCACCTGATACTTTTCTTCCTCATTCACCTCTCCGTCCTTACGCTTCTCCCCTCCCTCCCATCCTCACGCTTACCGAACTGTTCAGCGTGAAGAAGTCTGCGCTCCTCTACCCCCGGGAGATGGCCAGGCCATCCCCCAGAGATGTCCACGGAGTCGCCCGCCCCCTCTGCATTTCGACAATCTGCAGCGACGGATTATTGACACTTTACTGGCAAGATGGACCATCATTGTCAATCTTGTCAATCATTGACGATAGCTGGCAACCGCTGTCAATATTGACAATAATTGTCAATATTGCCAACATTGACAATCGTTGACGAGGGAGGGCGGGCGCCCTCTCTGCATATTGACAATGTTGGCAGTACTTGTGTCTTACACACGAGATGTTTTTTTTTTTTTTTTTTTTTTTCCTGATGGTGGCACTAAGTGTGACAATACTGTGTGCTGTTTAACATTGACAATGCTTATGACAACAGGTGTTTGATTTTTCTGATGGTGCTCCTGCTGCAACGTGGGCCTCAGTTTTTTCGGATTACGGCTTTGCTCCCGCCGCTCGGAGTGGCGCTCTCGCTCTCCAGCGCGGGCCACCGTTCTGAATCCGAGTCCCTCCCCGATGGCGCGCCCCTTCTTTCCCCTCCTCCGCCCTCCTTTGGTCCTCCTGCTCCTCCCGCTCTTTCCGCTATAGTCCCAGCTGCTGCTGTTCTTCCTCGTCCTCTTTCCACCTCATGTTCCTCCTGATCCTCCTGACCATCCGCCAACTCCATCCCTGTTCCCTATGAGTAAGTCCTTCCTGTCGCGCCCCCACAGGTGCGGGTAGGGCGGGCCGGGCGTTTCGCATGGCATTTCCTCACCGTTTATGGTTCTGAAGCTTTTGCGGATGGAGGAGGGGTGGTTCTCAAACTGTGGGCTCGCCTTAGCGCCGCGCACATCATGTTTCAGTTTGCATCAGCTTCACGAATAGATGTGGGCCCTTCTCGAACTGTGATTCTCGCCTGGGCGCCGCACACATTCGTCTTAACGGATGGTAGCGCCGCGCACATTCGTCTCAAATGTTTGCAGCAGTTTCAAGGTTTGGAGCGCAGCCCGGAACACACCCCCGCCCCTGTGATTGGCATCGCCCCACCTCGCTGCCAACCTCAAGGATGCCCTCAGTTCGAGGGCGCATCCCTGAGGCCTGTGGCTTTCCTTTCAGCTTGTCGACCTCAGTGATAGGGATAAGTTCGAGGCTGCTTACGATCGGCTCCTCTGCCCTAGGATAAGTTCGAGGCTGCTTACCTAGGGATAAGTATGCTTCCCTAGGGATAAGTTCGAGGCTGCTCACGATCGGCCCCTCTGCCCGAGGACGTGCCCGGCACGCTCCGCGGCGAGGCCAAGGGCGGCGTCAAGATGGACTGGTCCCCGCCCCCCGTGGCGGACGCCTCGCCGGCGCCGCAGACCCCTAAGGCGGCCCAAGCCGGGCCGCCGCCGCCGTCGATGTCGTCGTCGTCGTCGTCGTCGCCGTCGTCGTCGTCGTCGCCGCCGTCGCTGTCGGATGTCACCGTCCACCGCCGCCATCGTCGCCATCGTCGTCGTCGCCGTCGTCGTAGTCGTCGTCGTCGTCGTCGTCGTCGTCGTCGTCGTCGTCGTCGTCGTCCGCCGGCGTCTTCCGCCGGCGTCGTCCACGGAGGTTTTTGGACGCTGTAGGTTCTCGGGGCCTCCAGAGGCCTCGCTAGAGACGGCGGCGGCGACGACGGTCGCGCCGACGGCGAAGGCGAAGATTGCGACGTCGACGAAGACGTCCACGGCGTTCTCTCCGTGCATAGGTGGCGCAGTTTCGCCCCTCCATGGGCATGTTCACCGCCTCGCCCAGCTTCGCGGAGATGACCAGGCCTGGCGGGCAGATGGCGCTGCTGATGAGGAGGGTGAGGGATGAGAAGAATGAGAAACAGGACGATAGCGAAGGACAGATGATTCAGACGATGATGATGACTGAATGATTGATTGATTCATTGATTCATTTGATTATGGATGATGGTGATGATGATGGTGGTGGTGTTGGTGGTGGTGGTGGCGGTGGTAGTGGTGGTGACGATGATGATGATACTGATGATGATGGTGGTGGCGATGATGATGGTGGTGATTATGATTACTAGTCAGCCGATGCGGTTGACGTTCATTTCTCGTGGTTGACGTTCATGAATGCAGGGATTATTGCAAGGATTGTGATGGTGGTGGTGGTGGTGGTGGTGGTGGTGGTGGTGATGGTGACGATGACGGTGGTGGTGGTGGTGGTGGTTGTTGTTGACAATGATGATGGTGAGGATGATCGGGAGACGGAGGAGGATGGCAGAGGGTGATGAGCGGGCAGGAGGATGCGGAGGACTTCTGCATGTAGCGACCTGGCCGAAGACGTGTGCGAAGAGGATGGAAACGGGAGGAGGTTGGTCGGGCTCGGCATTGCAGCAGTCTGCGCGCCGTCATGCTGAAAGCCTCATATCACGAGAACGAAGGGGGGTACACTAGCAGCCACCGCCACCCTTCCCAACGAAACCGAGAGGGCGGCGGACGGCGTGTAGCGCTACAACACGAGGAGAGAGGAAAGGAGCCAGGAGGAAAGAACTTCGCTGGTCAGCTGGACCCTCTCGGAGAAGAGCTCGAGCCGAAGCCTGGCCCTCGCCGTCACGATACGACGAAGGGAACGAGGGACAGGGCCGCCCCCGGCCCCGCGACGGACCACGGACGGCAGCGGGAGACCACTGGGCTGCAACGAGAGACACTTCGGCGGCTTCAAAGGGTATGGTTACGCCAGGGTGTGGTTGACGGTCACCAGCGCTCGCTCTCAACGGACAGACAAGAAAGTGACCAATCGAACATCCGAAGGGTCCTGAGGACGTTCCCTTCGTTGCCCACGGCGCGTTTTCGGACCGTTGGTGCCTGGGGAGCACGACGCTGTCCTCGTCGGGCCCCCTCGGGAGCGCGGCGGAGGGCTCTGTTGAGATCCCCGCCTGCCTCCCAGTGTGCGCCCCAAAGTGCCGGGTGCAAGCCACGCCTTTTGCGAACCACACCCTGCGGAGTCGCCGAAAACTGGCGCCCCACCGATTCCAGATCACGGCACCATGTTCAACCCTCTCAGACAAGCTGTTTAGGGAAACGGTTGTGTGGGCTCTCCTGCGACCTCTTCGAGCCCGCATCGAGCGGCAAGTCCCGCCACCGTGCCAGTGCAACATTCTGCGTGGCGACTTTTCGAGCACCGCCAAGAATGCCATCACATGTGACACTTGTAACACCCTATAGGAGGACTGGGAGGAGGACGATATTAGTATGGAGGAGGGGAGAAGAAGAACGAGGAGGATGAACATGATGCTTATGTTTGTGATGATGCTGATGACGATGAGGAGGAGGAGGAGGAGAAGGAGGAGGAGGTGGAAGAGGGCGAGGAGGAGGAGGAGGATGAGAAAGGCCGTCGCACTTTCCATCCGCAGGAGCAGGAGGAGAAGGAGGAGGAGGAGGGTGTTGGAGAAGGAGGAGGAGGAAAAGGAGGAAGAGGACCAGAGTCGTGAGAACCTTTGTGGACTGGAAAGCTAAGGCGCAAGAGTCCCCCCATGCCCTCAGGCGTCTTTAGACTGGTAGATGTCTGGGTATCGCTCTAGCTCTGGACCTCCGAACCAAAAGTCACCAGAGGCTCGTGGGTGACCTTGCTGAGTGCGCCCTTTTTGAGTAGCGATGTTTCCTTATCTTCGGGCAGGCGTCAGGTGTACTCGGATCAACTGCTGAGGAGCACAAGGACGCAAGAGGAAGAGGACCAGAGCAACGCCATGATGCGCCAGCGATGTTGCAATCCACCCTCCTCACAAGTCCCTGCACGCCTTTCTTTCCACTGCAGGAAGCGCTCCGTGAAAGATCAGCACCCCGCTGGCCTGCCATCCGGTGGAGGACACCGTTCTGCAAAGCGAGTGTATCTCATCCCTCTCGCCGACACAACCTGCGAACAAACGTTTATAACCATTACAGTTCAACGAGGTGCCCAGCGATTTCCCGAGTTTCGAGAGGGGGCCACCCGTATCAAGTGTACATGTTGTACAAGCTCACGGTTCTTTTCCCGGGTTGCGAGGGAGTTTCAGGCGAGGGAACCATGGTTGGAGAGGAGCCGCCCCCCTCCGTGCAGCTGTACCACATGGTCAATGTCCCCGTCTCTGGTGGGAGCTCAAGGAAGCCTCAAGCGGCCACCCACTACTACTACTACTACTACTGCTACTGCTACTGCTACTACTGCAACTACTACTACAAGAACAACAACAACTACTATTACTAATTCTAATATGGAGCAGTCCTCATCCCTGCCACTTTTGCACATGTTAAAGCTGAATGCGCGCGGCGCTGGGGCAAGAGCAATCTTTTACCAAAGAGCCGCTCTCCATCCGTGCAGCCGCTGCGCGCTTGTGGGGCGAGCGTGCTAGCGGCGCTGAGGCGAGAGGCCCGGCTTTGATCTGAGAACGGGCCGCCTCGCCTCTGTTAAGTATTGCCAGCTTTTCCTCTGCATGCGCTTTTGGTGCTGAGGCGAGGGCCGCATTTTGAAGACGGGGCCGCCCTCCATTCTTGAAGCTGTTGCGAATTCCAAGCTTTAGGGCCATACATCCTTGGCATCGCTCGGACGTGTGCATTTTTCCTTCGGCGAGGACCATCGAGGAGCATCCTTGATCATTTGGCAAAAAAACCACGCACGAAACCGAAAAAAACACAGGGAATGGACGTCCGAGCGATGGCAAGACATCAGGATGACGTCTCAGGCGAAACTCCTGGCCCGCCCTACCGACACGTCTGGTGGTCAGACGAGGAGGAGTTATCCGGCTGCCTGCGGCACGTCCTGCCACAAATCCGGCCCAGCATTCTGTGTTGCAGCTGTTCGGATCGATGATGATGGTGCTGATGATGACGATGATGATGATGTTGATGATGATGATGATGATGATGATGACGATGATGATGATGATGATGATGATGATGATGATGACAAACAAAGCGTGAGTTTCATGAGAGGAGGGTAATGGTGGCGGGCGGGAGGGATGAATTAAATGACGCTAGTGATGCTGCTGCAGATGATTATAATGCTGATGATGATAATGATCATGACGATGATGGTCATGAGGGCGTTTCGATGGTGATGCTGATGAGGAAGAGCACGCGGACTGTGGTGGTGGTGCTGATGAGGACATTGATATTTATGATGACGCTGCTGCTGATGATGATGCTGATGAAGATGATGATGGGGATGATGGAGATGATGGTGGTGATGATGATGCTGCTGCTGGTGACGATTATGATGATGATGCTGATGAGGATGACGATACTGATCTTGATGATGCTGACGACGACGACGACGATGATGATGCTGACGATAGTGATACTGATGATGACGATGCTGATGATGATGATGATGATGGTGGTGGTGGTGATGATGATGGTGCGTATGGTGATGATGCTGCTGGTGTTGATGCTGATGATGATGATGCTGGTGACCATGCTGCCGCTGCTGCTGCTGCTGCTGATGATGATGATGCTGGTAATGCTAGTGATGATGACGATGCTGCTGATGATGATGATGATGTCGATGCTGCTATTGCTGTTGACGTTGATTGTGTTGATGATGGTGACGACGATGTTGCTGCTGATGATGGTGATGTTGGTGACGACGACGACGACGACGACGACGACGACGACGACGACGACGACGATGATGATGATGATGATGATGATGATGATGATGATGACGATGATGATGATGCTGATGATGATGATGGCCATGATGATGCTGATGTTGCTTCTGATGATGATGATGACGATGTTGTTGCTGATACTGATGATGATCATGCTGACCAGGATGATGCTGCTGTTGTTGGTTCTGTTTCTGTTTCTGCTGTTGCTGCTGATGCTAATACTGCTGATGCTGCTGATGATGCTGTGCATGTTGCTGTTGATGATGATGAGGTTGCTAATGGTGATGATGATGCTCAGGATGAGGATGAATATGAGGATGATGATGCTGGTGCTGATGATGCTGATGATGATGACGATGGTGAACCTGATGATGACGATGATGATGATGATGATGATGATGGTGGTGGTGATGATGATTGGTGCCTATGGTGATGATGATGCTGGTGTTGATGCTGATGTTGATACTGATGCTGATGCCGATGCTGCTGCTGATGATGATGATTCTGGTAATGCTCATGATGATGACGATGCTGATGACGATGTCGATGCTGCTATTGCTGAGGACGTTGATGGTGTTGATGATGGTGACAACGATGTTGCTGCTGAAGATGGTGGTTTTGGTGACGATGATGATGCTGATGATGCTGATGGCCATGATGATGCTGATGCTGCTTCTGATGATAATGATGATCATGATGATGCTGCTGACGATGTTGTTGCTGAGACTGATGATGATCATGGTGACCATGTTGATGCTGCTGTTTTTGGTTCTGCGTCTGTTTCTGCTGCTGCTGCAAATTCTTAATGCTGCTGATGCTGCTGATGATGATGATGATGCTGATGCCGATGCTGATCATGTTGTTGATGATGATGTTGATGGTGATGGTGTTTTTGGTGATGATGATGATGATGATGATGATGATGATGATGATGATGATGCTGAGAATGAGGATGATGCTGCTGATGATGCTGATGATGCTACTGCTGTTGATGATGATGACGACCATGTTCATGCTGATGCTGTTGCTTCTGCTCTTGCTCTGCTGCCTCTGCTCATGTTGCTGTTGCTGCTGGTGATGATGATGCTGATGATGATGCTGATTATGTTGATGATGGTGATGATGATGGTGATCATGATGCTGCTGCTGATGATGCTGATGCTGATGATGCTCA